GTAACAGACCCCAGAGATGGTAAAATCTCATTTATCACTGATTTAAAAAACATATTTCATTTATAGATTTTTTTACTAGAATCAATTACACGATTCGGGTCTCTGGAAAAAAAACACCGTCATGTTTCACAGCCTCAGAGGGTAAAGTGTGACATTCACAGCTCTGTGCTTTCATACCAGATTACTTACAATTAACCACAACAATGTCCTGTAACCACGACTGCACTGTTATTATGTTCTTTTATTTGACAAGTAAGCTTCAACTCGCATGCTATCACTGTGTTTGCTCCTGCGTCCACTCCAGCGTTAGGAACTGTCTCAAAATTACTGGAAGAAATTTTGTGGAAATAGATTAAATATTAAAAAACTAGAAGATAATGAGAAAGAAAAAAATACTACCAACCCCCAAGAAAAAGTTTCATCCACTGACTGTTAACTGAATAAGAGCACTGTGTTTTTGGCACAGGCCTACAGTGCATGCTATTTTATTTCAGTACTATCTTTATCTTGTATCTTTCTATTATTCTTATTATTATTATTATTATTATTATTATTATTATTATCATCATCATCATCATCATCATCATCATCAATTCAAGCATTGATGCATTTTTTTTGGGGGGGGGGTGGGCATAAAATGTGCCGTTTGCAAGAGTTATAGCATGTTATTTTTTATCATTATGTTAAACTCAGCTCAGTTCAAAGTATTTTATGTGAATATAAACATATTAACACAATTTTCTTAACACCAACTTATTTATATTACTTCTGATCTACATGTGGGTGAGAGTGAGGGGGCTGGGTGAGCGCGTGGGGGCCGGGTGGGCGGGTGTAAGGACTATGAACACTGCATGAAACTCAGAGTGACTGAGGAAAATAACTGACAGAACTGACAGCATCACAGCTCAGCACAGCTACTGGAGAAAGCTGAATGTGCACAGCTAGCAGATCTGGCATGTGGGAGGGCCTCAGGGTGAAGGTTTCTAAACGGTCAGCACATACACACACATACACACACACACATACACACACACACACACACTTTCCAAGAACATTCGCTTTCAATGAAATGGACTGAAATACAAACAAGTCCGCCCTGCAAATCAGAATAATATAAATATGCAAATGACCATGCAAATGAGAGCATGCATAAACATTTGGGAACGCACCTATGAGGCTGAAGAGTGTGTTGACTCTGAGTGTTTCAGTCACTGCAGAACAGAAAACAGCAGCGCTGCAATCAAAGCAGCATTTTGTTAAACAAAGCGCTAACTCGAGCCAAAAGGTAAACAGTTTCAGAGCACAGACACACAGCTTCTCGCTTTCAGTCAAAACATTTCAATTTGCATCACTTTCACTGCTCCACAGGTCACACACACATGCTACGGGTGGCGGTCTCAGTCCTCACAACGATCGGATTTGATTACCATTCTTTACAAAATGAATCAATGCATCACAAAATCTCAAATTTTAACCAAATTTCAATTTGAATCTTTGGCAAAAGATTTGATTCATCATGGAATTTAAAGATTCAGTTGGATTCTTTAGTAAACAATTCAATGCATCATGAAATCTCAAATTTTATAATGATTTGACTCACTTCTGAATGAAACTGTTCAGTGCAGCGTGAAATCTAAACTTTATGATTTTAATGATTTGATTCGATTCTTCAGAAAAATCTAAAATTCAGTGTGAAATCTAAACCATGATTCAATAAGATTCTTTAGAAAATGAGTCAATGCAAAATGAAATCTGAAACTGAACCACGATTCAATTTCATTCTACAGTAAATGTGTCAGCACATCATGAAGTCTAGGAATGATTCAAATGTGTCACAAAATCTTATATTTCAACCTGAATAAACAACAATTCTTTAGTAAACAAGCCAATGCATCATGAAATCTAAAATTTGATTCTTCATGAAATGACTCACTGCACCATGAAATCTAAAATTTCAACCTGATTCATTTTGATTCTTGATGAAATGACTCACTGCATCATGAAATCTAAAATGTAACCATGATTCAATTTGATTCTTCATGAAATGACTCACTGCATCATGAAATCTAAAATGTAACCATGATTCAATTTGATTCTTCATCAAATGACTCACTGCATCATGAAATCTAAACTTTAACTATAAGTCAGTCAGATTCTTTAGTAAATGATTTGTTGCATCATGAAATCTACAATGTAAATGACTCAACTTGATTCTTCAAAAATTAAGTCAATTCATCATAAAATCTAAAATTCTACAATACGTTCTGCTTCTTAAGCAAACAATTTAGTAGGTGATTCAGTTGGATTCTTTAGTACAGAACTGAATGTGTCACAAAATCCAAAATTTAACCACAATTCGAAGAATCATAAATTAATCAAGTTGACATTCTAATATTAAGATTTAATAATTAATTGAATCATTTCCAAGAAAAGAAATCGCTATTATTTGATTAAATACAATTTAGAATCATGTTTAAAAATACACTGAAGTGACTGGAGGAACTATTTACATAGCAGTGTAATATAGATAATGAAAACAATAACTTTTTTGCATATTTCTATATATAAAAATTGGCAGGAACTGTTTATTATCCACTTGAACATTACAAAATCGGAACTTTCAGACTGATTGCTTTTTTACAAGGACACACACACACACGCACACACGCACGCACACACACACACACACACACACACACACACACAAACCCAGTGTGATGTGCTGTAATGGAATAAACTCACTGGGCTGAGGACCAAAGCTGGCAGATCATGGAGTGCACTGACAGAGACTTACTGGTTTTATGAATACATGAAGCCAGAGGGGGAGTGTGTGTGCGCATGCATGTGTGTGTGTTGGTCTCGATCAGGCCCTGTGTCTGCCACCGTCTCGTCTCTTCGTAGCGATTAGTGCTAACGTGAAGTGAGGCTGCGCTATAGGCCGAGGAGAAGCATCAAATGAAAGTCTTAATTCCACGTCATGCCGCATTACCGACTTTCAGGGTGAATACAGTGCTCAGACTGAAATTAATTTGACACCTTTCACCACTAATAGGCTGCTTGATTTGTGAGGGAGTCTTCTTTATAGAGACACGGAGACAGTGCGGAGTACGAGAGACAGAACGCGCGCACATCCTCTGTCTCCCTGAACAGCCTTCCACCCATCCACGAGAATAAGAGACTACAAAAACATACAAACACTACAAAACATCTCCAAACACAATGATTCTGCTTCTTCACTCTTACAGTGTCATTTTTATGACCTACTAGGCTGGAAAATATGGATTTCTGGGACACTTGATTTCTAAATGCTACTTTCTGGTGGGTTCTGTAGTTATTTAGTCTGTTATTGAACAGAGCCAGTTTAATTTGTCACTAAACACTCTATATTTTCCTTTAAGAACAACTACTGATGAGTAATAATGAGCCCACTAATGAGCATCATTCTTCTGTTCCACATCAATCTTCTTACTTAATGTTAGCTCATTTCAGCACATCAGCAATGAGGCGATGAGTTTGCATGTATGCAGTGTGAATTTCTTCACTTGCTTCAACGAAAATGCAAAAAATAATAAACAAAACAGACATTTCAGGGTGCGTACTCTATGTCCCAGCATGCATTGTGTCATTCTGCTTTATTCATGCTCCATAATTGCTGTTGGATCCCAATTCCAGCACAAACAAGCGTCTTGGTTTTTCAGAGTAGAAGAGAAGAGAAGAAAAGAGAAGAGAAGAGAAGAGGAGAAAAGAAGAGAAGAGAAAAGAAGAGAAGAGATAAGGAGAAAAGAAGAGGAGAAATAAGGAGAAAAGAGAAGAGAAGAGAAGAGAAAAGGAGAAGAGAAGAGAAGAAGAGAAGAGAAGAGGAGAAAAGAAGAGAAAAGGAGAAAAGAAGATAAGAGAAAAAGAGAAGAGATGAGAAAAAAGAAGAGAAGAGAAGAGAAGAGAAGAGAAGAGAAGAGGAAAACAAGAGAAGAGTAATTGAATTCGCTCAGCTGTTGTTGCTGGCATGAAAAGAAATTAGATGAGGGCACGAGAAAAGACAATACAATGACAAATGAGGAAGAGAGAGAAAGAGGCAGAGCGAGGGGGGTACAGCGAGAGAGAATGAGAGAGAGAGAGAGAGAGAGAGAGAGAGAAAACAAGAAAGAGAGAAAGTGTGAGGGGGGGTGTAGAGAGAGAGAGAGAACAAGAACAAGAAAAAAGTGTGAGAGGGGGTGTAGAGAGAGAGAACAAGTGAGAGATAAAGACAGGATAGAGAAAGAATAGAGAGGGGAAGAGAGAGAGCATAGACAAAGGACAAAGAAAGAGAGAATACAGATTATAGAGAAAGAAAAAGAAGGAGAGAGAAAAAGATAGAGGATAGAGAAAGTGGGAAAGAGAGAAAGGTGAGAGGGAGGAAGAGGGAAATAACAGAAAGGAGGAAGAAAGAGAGAGAGTATAGAGAATGAATGAGAGAGAGAGAGAGAAGCAGCTGCTCCTTTGCATGGCTGCACTGAAACATCATTTGCATGAAGGAGGAAAATGAAAACATGCGCCTCGCGCGGTTACCTAGTGAAAACGCATGTCGTCGTGGTTACCAAGCGAAAAACACATAGTCAGGGGGGCCGCGGGGAAGAGGGGGCTGACAGGCTTACAGCAACATCCTGCCGATTTGCATATGCTGATGAGCACCTATCGGCGCAAATTTCCATAAACTTCATATCGTTGACAAGGAACAAGCAAAATCAACCCAATAAACGCTTCTCGTCTGAACAGCGAACAGAGACGACATGCACGTTTAATCTGGATCTCATGCATATTCATGAGGAGATTAAACTTCAGTGCGTGTTAAAGTGAGAAGGTATGATCTCAGCAGGAGAAAAAATAGAAGAAAAAAAAAAATCACACTGACAAATTAATCTGAGATACAGATCACTCAGTGTATCCAGCACTGAGGGAGGGGGCGGGGCTTGTAGCCCGTGGACCATCGAAAGCTGGAATAAAGATCTGGGACAGCCCCTTACCTGACAAAGTGTGTTCTCCTACAGTGTTACAGGTGGGTAAACCTGGAGCACCTCAAGGTCAGAAAGACGTTCTCTCTCTTCAATATCCTGCAGAAAGAAAACACAAGACAGGAAAACAACATTAATGACCAATTCTTTCAGACTCATCAAAGGGAAATGTTAGGTCAGCTTTGCACGCTTTGCATGCGGTGAAATGTCAATGTGTGTTTATGATGAAAGCTTTTTGCCATTAATTTGACTTATAGCAATACAAAATGACTAACAATGTCATCTTCTGAATAAAACTGCTTGACACAATTCCATCAGGAATTTCAAGGTTTGTTGCAAATTGTGCACATATTTTCTTTTATTTTGTGGACTTTCCCTAGCTTAATTTTCCACAACATTGAATGACTTTTGCTTTTGGATTATTACAATGAAATTCTGACATGTCAAAATAATGATTTTTTTCATTTTAAGGGAATAAGTAGTTATTTTGAGACAGTGAATTTGACAAAATAATTATATATTTTTGATAAGTCCTTATTTCATAACAGTATGTTGTCTTTTTAATACAGAGGGTCAAAATTTAGAGAAAATGAGTAATTATTTTGAGATATTTATCACATAATAAAAATACAATAATAAAATTTTGTGAAAATATGTTGACATGATAAGTAATTTTCCGGACATTGTAAATAAAACATTTGAGTAAATAAATCAGAAATTATTATTTTAACATAGTAAGTCAATATTTTGAGAAAATAATTCATTATTTCACGAAAACAATCACTATTTCAAAACAGAAAGCCATTATGTTGACACAAAGTAAAAGTTGAGAGACAGTAAGTCATTATGTTACGACACAAAGTAATTATTTCAACATAGTAAGTCAAAATTGAGAAAACAAGTTAGTCTTTTGAGACATTAATATTTAAAGTCATTATTTCAGGACATAGGTCATTATTTCAATGCATTAAGTCATAAATCATTCATAATTCATCAATTCATTGTTTCAAGTCAATATGTCAAAAAAAATTGACATACTGCTGTCAGAAATAGAGAAAGATTTAAAACTGTATGCAATTTGTATGTAACACTGCTTAGTAGCAGCATTTTTAACTGGAAGCTTAATGTTATGTACCATCTCAATTTTCTTGCGTGGGATTTTGCTAAAAATCATGTAGCGACAGTTGCTCTGTAAGCTCACATTTGTGGGTGGAGCATGGATGAGTTTGTTGCTATTTCATTGGTCTTCACTTCAAAGCATTAAAACCTGAAATCTTTCAGATGGATGGTGGCCTACTGAACGTTTCCTGAATTCAGAATGTTAGCGAATGCACCCAGAATGTGTTTATACACAGCAGAGCATACCAAACCGCAAGACTAGTGTTAGCCTAGCCATGTGTTAGCCTAGCATATGTGTTAGCCAAGCCATATGCTCACAGTGCAAAGGGCAGCCAGCCATATCTACACAAAACAGCTGAATCATTAACCCCTCAGGCTGTGGATTAATTACATTAATAGCTAATCATTTCCTTCACATCCTGCTTTCAGTGTATGGGTTCATACATGCCATATTCTATTGACTTTGCATATGTTAACAGAGTGTAGAAGAGGTTAATAAATAACTCCTCTTAGACCTGGACCTTCAAGCAGTATGTGGTTAAAATATACAGTTTTCTATCAAAAAAGAAGTAAAAGATCATAAAATTGGTTAATTGTGAAATCAGTGATGTGCAAATCAGAAAAACCCAATTTACTGAGATGGAAAAACAGTATCCAACATCAATTGCATTCTCCAGCACACGGTGATGTGATATACAGCCCAGGCACTGCATGTGGGCTGTGCGGAGGGAATGTTCAGCGTTATGAGAAATTGCAATATTCATATCGTGTTGTGTGGGAGAGGCCAAAAGCCTGGCAGCAACAAAATCAAAGCAGGCTGTACAGTCCTAGAACCAAGGGCAATTCAACCAATCTTTCAAAATTTCAGCATAATTTCAATGGTTGATTCAATACTGATTCAGAGTGGTTTGATGTGATCATTGTAGAGAAACCTATTGACTAGGAACCAGAGGTCACAAATATGGCCATTTTATTTACCATACAAAATCACCAGTCTCTTTTTTTGTAAAATAGTGGAAAATCTTTAAAAATAAGTTTCACTTTCGTCTTACAATACCCCACATGTACCTCTCCACCAATGAATGTTTTTTTAAAAATATGTTGTAGGCCAAAAATCAATCTGAAAACTACTGTAAAACAATGTCTCAGGCATCAGGCGGAACATTCATAATCATTTAGTGTAATCACTTTCTGTGAGGGAGCTTTTAGAGGCTTTAAACTCTGCAGACATCTGGTTCCTATCACCACCACTGACTTGGTAGGTTTCTCTAGAACAGAGCATTTTACATCAGTGAATGACTGTTTGTTGGCAGAGAAATTTCTGCCTTGTATCTTTAAAAAGCTTCTTCTAAAGGTTCTTTAAAGCAGATGATGGCCGATTTCGCCATTGGTTTATGGTGAAAATAAAAAGAAGACAGGCTGTTCATCCAAGAACACCTTAAATATTAAATAGATGTTTACCATCAAGCTTATTTTGGTGATGTTTATTGTGAACTGAAACAGAAAGGATGGATGTGCCGGATGGATTGATCACAGGTCATACATTCTGAGAGGAATCATATGGCAGCAACATCTGAAACATCACACTGTGGTGAAGAGTACGGCTTTATATCTATGAGAGTTACTACTTTCATTGATGATTTAGTCTGATTAAGATTAAGCGACCCTTATTAGTCCTACAATGGGGAAATTTCACCTCTGCATTTAACCCATCTGTGCAGTGAAACACCACATACACACTAGTGAACACATACACTAGGGGCAGTGAGCACACTTGCCCGGAGCAGTGGGCAGCCCTATCCACAGCGTCCGGGGAGCAGTTGGGAGTAAGGTGCCTTGCTCAAGGGCACCTCAGTCACGTACTGTCAGCTCAGGGGATCGAACCGGCGACCGAACCGGCGACCTTACGGTCACAAGGCTGGTCCCCCAACCTCCAGCCCATGACTGCCCAAAGTTTATATGCAAGGGGGCAGCCAGATTCTTGGCCTGTAACATGTTGCGAGCTTTGCTGTACATAAATGAGTCATGTAGACACCGAGGAGGAGGACGATAACAAAGACGACAACCCTGCTAGATCATACTACATTTGTGTTTGTAAGCAGAGGAGGAGAAAACAAGGTTGAAAGTGCAGAATCTAAACTGTTGATGTATAATGTAAATTGAATATGCATGTAATTTCTTACATAACAAACTCATGCTTACATAAAAAAAGCATAATAGCATATTGTCAAAATCTTGCATCCCCAAAATGATAACTTTGCAGAGGAAGGAAAAAAAATGTCCTTCAACTTACTTTAACTGTACTTAACATAGTCATGTGCAAAAGTTTGGGCACCCCAGTAAAATGACGTTTTGATTAGCGTAGAAATAAGTGAACATATCTTCATAACACATTTCTGCACATTTTAATGCACGCTTTATTGGCTGAATTTAACCTATTTTGGAAAAACATGAACATATTATGTGGCCTGTGCGAAAGTTATAGCACATTTTATATCTTTTTGTTCCAATATGTTAAGCAAATAAATAAAATCCCATATTTCAGTTGATTCTCTGCCTAATTTTACTTAGAAGACTTGCATGTAGTTTGACAGGGGTGTTCAAACTTTTGCATCTGGCTGTGTGTTTAAATTTTGAGCAATTTCAATTTCATGACTAATTACAAAACGTGAAGGGCAGCTGGTGTTTTCAAATGATGTAAAAATATAAAGAAAAAAACTGGAGATGCAATGGAAATTCAATATAGAGGTTCACATGTAATGTGAAACGGACGAATAGCCAAACAATAATAAATCTATACATATAATAATCCAATCAATGGTGTCGACAGACGCCAGATGATGATGATGATGATGATGATGATGATAATGACGACTCTGGCTTGTTGGAAGTAACTGTGTCCTTGTTGGTTGGTTCTGTCCTACCCTCAAAAGCCCCATCAGTCTAAACCTGACAGTCTATTCCCCATCCAGCACTAACACAGCCATTATTAGACCTGTTCTCCAGCATCCCCCATTCATCTCTCTGCTAGCATGCATGCGTGCACGTGTGTGCGTTGTGTGTAAGCTATGGTGGGTGCTGTGTGTGAGATGCTCTTGAAGATGTGTATGTTCTCATACCTGTGTGTGTGTGTGTGTGTGTGTGTGTGTGTGTGTGTGAGAGAGAGAGAGAGAGAGAGAGAGATTATGAATGTATGAAGGCCAGATGAGCGTTTAAGAGGCTGATTTAGAGTCTGAGAGAGCGCCCTGCGCTCGATAGCATTAGCGCTCAATGCTAAACAGCCCATTCTAGCGCCATTAGCATGCTGATGGCCGCACTTTCTTCTCTCATTCCCTCCTTCTCTCCTATCCCCAAACCATTCTATCCTTCTCTTTCTCTCTGTTCTTTCATTCGTTCGCAGGATGTTGCTGCACACGCTGTGTCTGTCCGATTTCACATTCATATCACTGTCGTGCAAAAACATTGTGACTCCACTGTGACTCGAGTTTTTATTCACTTATTTACACCATTTGAAAACGTCAGCTGTGCGAACACTTCGTGATGAATGGACCAACAGAAATGACTCCAAAATTACTCATTACATTAACATGCAAGTTTTCCTTCTCATACAAATATGCAATATCTCCTTCTCATATAAACATTACCATTTCAAAGACATCAGGTTCTGTTATGCATGTTTCATCATTTTTCTTTTATCACTATTTGAAGATTCCAGCTGCTCTTTATATCATTTTATGCGGCTATTTAATGATTTATGATGAATGGACTCATAGAAATGGTCCAAAACGACTCACGCTACATTAACTTACATCAAAGTTAAAATCATTTCCAGCTGACTTTAATGTCACAACACTGATCAGCCATCTCCTATACTCCACTTACTATATAGATGCAGCTTGTTACACTGTTACCCTGTTCTTCAATGGTCAGGACCCCCATAGGACCACCACAGAGCAGGTACTATTTGGGTGGTGGGTCAT